CCCTAGCCAAAAAAGACGCCGCTTTCTACAATAACCCTAGCCAAGACGTCACTGTCTGCCATAACCCTAGCCAAGACAAGATGTCCCTGTCTGCCATAACCCTGGCCAAGACAAGACGCTGCTGTCTGCCATAACCCTAGCCAAGACAAGACGCTGCTGTCTGCCATAACCCTAGCCAAGACGTCACTGTCTGCCATAACCCTAGCCAAGACAAGACACTGTTGTCTGCCATAACCCTAGCCAAGACGCTGCTGTCTGCCATAACCCTAGCCAAGACAAGACGCCACTTTAAACAATAACCCTAGCCAAGACGTCACTGTCTGCCATAACCCTAGCCAAGACACTGTTGTCTGCCATAACCCTAGTTAAGACGCTGATGTCTGCCATAACCCTAGCCAAGACAAGACGCCGCTTTCTACAATAACCCTATTTAAAACGTCGCTGTCTGCCATAACCCTACACAAGACAAAACACTGCTGTCTGCCCTTACCCTAGCCAAGACAAGACACTGCTGCCTGCCATAACCCTAGCCAAGACGCTGCTGTCTGCCATAACCCTAGTCCAAGACAAAACACTGCTGTCTGCCATAACCCTAGCCAAGACAAGACGTCGCTGTCTGCCATAACTCTACCAAGACAAGACGTCGCTGTCTGCCATAACCCCAGCCAAGACAAGACACTGCTGTCTGCCATAACCCTAGCCAAGATAAGACGCTGCTGTCTGCCATAACCCTAGGCAAGACAAGACGCTGCTGTCTGCCATAACCCTAACCAAGACGTCACTGTCTGCCATAACCCTAGGCAAGACGTGACTTCGCTGTCTGCCATAACCCTACTCAAGATACTGCCTGCCATAACCCTTCTTAAGATGCTGCTGCCTGCCAAAGCCCTACTTAAGACACTGCTGCCTGCCATAACCCTACTCAAGATGCTGCTACCTGCCATAACCCTACTCAAGATACTGCCTGCCATAACCCTACTCAAGATACTGCCTGCCATAACCCTTCTTAAGATGCTGCTGCCTGCCATTATCCTACTCAAGACGCTGCTGCCTGCCATAACCCTACTCAAAACGCTGCTGCCTGCCATAACCCTACTCAAGACGTTGCTGCCTCCCATAGCCCTAGCCAAGACAAGACGCTGCTGCCTGCCAATACCCTACTTAAGATGCTGATGCCTGCCATAACCGTACTGAAGACAAGACACTGCTTCCTGCCAAATTCCTACTCAAGACACTGCTGCCTGAAAAAATCTTAGCCAAGACAAGACGCCGCTGCCTGCCATAACCCTAACCAAGACAAGATGCTGCTATCTGCCAAAACCCTATCCTAAGAAATAGCGGCCTACCATAACCCTACTCAAGACGCTGCTGCCTGTCATCACCATACTCAAGACACTGCTGCCTGCTAAATTCCTACTCAAGATGCTGCTGCCTGCCAAAATCTTAGCCAAGACGTTGCCGCCTGCCATAACCCTACTCAAGACGCTGCTGCCTGTCATAACTCTAGCCAAGACAAGACACTGCTTCCTGCCATCACCCTAGCCAAGATAAGATGCTGCTGCCTGCTACAACCCTTGCCAAGACAAGACATTACTGCCTGTCAAAACCCTAGCCAAGACAAGACGTCGCTGCCTGCCACAGGATCCAAGAGATAGGATTGATTTATCTTTCTTTATTAAATTGACTTTCGAGAAATTGCCTTTTTGGATATTACCTTTAACAATATTACAAGTAAGGCTAAACAGACATTGGGAGTGATCAAACATAATCTGACAACATGACCTACAATGTTAGCCGTAACAAGTGGTTTGTTATAATATAGCGAGCTGCTGCCACGCCACGTGCCTGCGATGCGAAGCTACTGTAATTAAATGCAGAGGGATAATTATACCAACTATACAGATACAAAAGCTTCTTTGGCTGTTGGTATGAGGAGAGAAAGCACATGTTAATACAACATGCAGTTTCTAAATGGCTAAGGCCACACCAATTTAATTTGTTGTTTCTCGGAGTTTTTCAGAAAAAATAAGAAGCGACTGGGCGAAATAAAAATTTAAAAAAAAAACAGGCCAAAACACCCCATGATAGCTGGAAATAAGTCAATATACCAGGCTAGTTTATAAACAAAACAATAGATTTTGAACTTTCATTGAAACAAAGTTGCATTGTTACATTGAAAAACTTTAACAACTAGGAGGAAAAGGACTTTCTTCAATGAGTCTTTCATTGAACATTTTGCAGTTGATTTAGGACGTATTTTTTTCTTTTTGCAAATCAGAATAAAATGGACAGGGCGAATCCGAGAAACAACAAATTAAATTGGTGTGGCCTAATAAACCTACACATAATGTTAACTATAATGTTAGTACACACTATAATGTTAGTACTACAACTACAGCTACAGCTATGTCTAGGATTTGGTCCAAGCCAAGCAGCTACCAGGTTTTAAGGCCTGGCAGTGAGGGAGGTAGTGAATGTCCAGCCCCTAAGCCATAATGGACATTCCCTTGCCGCTGACTTAAACCCTACCCCCCCCCCCTAACTAAGGATACAGCAAGGTTGGTGATGGTGAATGCAGGTTAGTATAACAAATAACAAAGCTGCTCACCTGGGTATCTAGGTACATAAACAACAGGAGTCCTCTTGCTGATCATAAGGCCAGGCTAAAGAACTTCTCTTTTCAACAGAACTTATAATGTCTGACTCAGCTGCAGTGAAGTCCTTTGGCCTGACAAGAGCTAAAAGTTTGGTGTGCCTTGTGATTATGCAAATGTTGGAAACTAAAAGCTTACAAAATGGACTAGGCAAGTCGACTGCAATTTAAATCTAATACAGCTTTTGATGCCTGACTTCCAAAACATCAATAGATACTCATCTGCAGATCTATTATACTGCTATCTCTCTGACTACAGCAATCTTGGATCAAGTGTGTGTGTGTCTTACAGATCTACATATTGCAATGCTATGCTAGAACCCCTGTACGTTTAGTCAATGTTATCAAAGATCAACACAAGGCACTTAATGTCCAAAATGTTCCCTACATTTAACTTAGTAACTGTAAATTCCCCATTAAAGTACACACATTTTTAACACTCAAAAAAGTGTCGGGTAATCTCTTAAGTATGAAACAATTGAACAAGTAAAAAGTTTGTATTGTTACAAATGGTTGCCAAAACATTCTAAGCTGCATGATTATACAGCAAAGACATCTATAGAGGTCATTGAGAAACAGCATGAATTTGAATTTATTCTGTTCATATTTTGTTCAAGATTGGAGAGGGAATAAGTTTTCTCAGCTTTAGGTCAGAATTGTCTCTCAACAGCCCAAATATGCCTGGTGCGTACTTCAAATAGGAATTTACAGTATTGCAAGAAAACACACTAACCTGTTTGACAAGCTGTCTTCTTTTCTTGAGCTTGCTTGCTTCAAAGTAAACTGGAAACCGTGATATCGGCCAAAAGGATGATCTGTAAAAAAAAGGAGGAAAACATTAATATATTTTAAATGTGAATTTATGGCATTGCAATAAACCAAAGTATCATACTAACCTGTTGGACAAGCCTTCATTTCTTCATGCTTGTGTCCTTCAAAGCAACCTGGAAACAGCGGCATCAGGCAAAGGGTGATCTGTAAAAATGGGGAGAGAAACTTTAGTATACATCAGGACAGTTTGCAGTTAGTATTTTCCATCTATTCCAGAATCTGAGTCATAACAGGTTTGCTTCAGCCAATTCGATCTGCAGTACCAAGCTGATGAACAAGGTGGCACTGCTCACTGCACGTATTTATCATGTATTTAGTTAGGTATAAGCAAGTTAAAAAAACTCAACATAAATTAGAACATGTTAAAGTCAAACAAAACCACTGAATTTGCAACGTTAGAAAAATTTCCTCGGGAAAGGACCGTGAGTCCGGCTCCATCCAGGCGGGGACCTCGCCAAATTTCACCGAAAACATAAGGTTGAACGCTACGGTACGGAGTCTGTCAGCACCATGCTAATTTTTCTGAAAGATTCCGAAAAATCAGCCCAGAAAAAAACACATTGGCGCTACTAAATTCAGGTACGCTTTTCTCGACAATCGTGAGGAAAATCTGTGAGAACACAACACTTCAGAGAACTTTTGGTGCATACTTGCCACCCGTACGTACTAAAGTCTGAGGTAAGGGCGATGATTGACAGCTCAGTCAGACGGTCAGTCGTCATCGTCCCAAAATTTAAAAAAAATCAAATTCCTTGAGGATTCATAAAAGAATTTCAGAAAATAGGTCAAGCTCAACTCTATTAAGATTGTAACTATCGTAACTGGTCCCCAACCCTCGGCCCGTAACGGGTCTGGCTACACGTACACGGGACCCCGCACCTGTTTCACCGGGCCCCACACGTGAGACCGACCGCTACTCAATATTTCAACATTTTCCCGATAAAAACTACAAAAACTAACCTGAAAGTGGTACTACTAGATATAACAACATTTTATCTCCTAATTGTAGGGTAAATTTGCTAAGAACATAACAATTAAATGCAACTTCTGACACAACATGTACACTTGCCACGTGCTGACACGAGCGATGATTGACAGCTCAGTCAGACGGTCAGCCGCCGTCATTTTTCAACATTTTCTCGATAAACTCTGAGGAAAAATATCTAAAAGCACCACTATTAGATGTCACAACATTTTGTTTGGTGATTCTGAGGCAAACTTGAGGGAAGAAATTAATTTGTCTTGAAATGTTGACCAACGATATACATGTGGCTACTTCTAAGCAGGTAGTGCCAACACACGGGACACCCCGTCTGTTTTCCCGCCTTTTTTCTCAATATTTTCTCTACAAAACCTGCTAAAACCGACCTAAAAGTGATGCTACTAGATGTCACAACATCTTATCTAATGATTCTGAGGTAAATATCGGGTGGAAATCAAACTGTCTCGAAATTTTGACGGACGATATTGCCAGCTCAGAGCGCCGTGCAAGGTAGTGCCAACACACGGCACACCCCGCCCGTTTTTCCCGGGACTCCATTACGGAAGACCGCTACTCAACATTTTAAGACATATCGTCGATAAAACCTGCTAAAACCGACCTAAAAGTGATACTACTAGGTGTCACAACATTTTATATAATGATTCTGAGGTAAATATCGGGTGGAAAATCAAATTGTCTCGAAATTTTGACGGACGCAAGTGCGCCGCACCATGCTTTGCCAACACACGGGGCAATGCGCCCGTTTCCCCGGGACACCTACGTGAGACCGCTACTCAACATTTCTCAAATTTTCCCGATAAAATCTGCTGAAACTAAGCTGAAAGTGATACTACTAGATGTCACAACATTTTATCTGAAGATTCTGAGGTAAACATTTGGGGGAAAATTAATTCTTCTTCGAATTTTGACAGACAATATCTAACTCATTTTAGCGGTATGTACTGATGGACCCGGGCTTTCGTTTCAAAGATATTTCTGACAGGAAATGTGAAGAAATACAGAGAAAAGTTCCACCTTCACGATGTTTTGACCGTAATAACCAACGTCTTTGTAAAATAAGTACCATTTCATGAAAAATAAATTTCTGACAGAAAAAATTAGACATTCCTGTCACTGAGTAAGCAATTCTAAACCTGAAGTTGACGCCAAATTTCCTGTCAGAAATGTCTTAAAAATAAGCCAAAATATGCCAGGACACACAACAGATTGCTGTATGTACTCTATACCAGGTAATACATGGGTAAACCATGAAATTCTACGGCAGAAAATTATAGATTCTTACCTCAATTCTAATGCACGGCTAGCGGCGGCTGTCACCTCCGGAATGTGAAGTTTTCAGGCGGGAACTTTTCTGGCAATAGAACGTGGATTGTGATTGGTGCGTCTAACGTGGATTGTGATTGGTGCGTCGGAATTTGGACTATTACATTTTGCTATTAAGGTGAAATCAAATAGGCAATGTTTTTACGTTCTTATCATTTGGCGGTATTTTCAGAATATTTGACTTCAAATGCATACAAAAATTATATATTATTACATACTTCGGAGATAGTCTTTTCTTCTCATATCTTTGTCGGTCAAGAATGGAAAAAGGAAAGGAGAAACAGTACACCCCCACCCGGCAGTCTTTTAATGTTTTAGCATTATGGCCTGTTCTATTTTTCGTTGGTGTGGGGTGAGAAGATGTTTTAAAACGATTTAGAACAGAGCGTTTTATGAACACTTTGAAACCAATCGTCGTCTGTTCCGGCCCATTTGTTCATGGACTTCTGATGACCACGTTACAGTTCATTTCGTATCGGTGGAGTGAATCCATCCATCCATCCACCCAGTCCTCCCCCAGTTTAGAATGGTCGGTCTCCCGCCACTCTGAGATTTCCAGTCAACAGGCGCGCGAACTCACTGCCGGGGACGGTTCAGTAACTATCTCGGGGTTCTGAAAATTGTCGTCTTCTATACTTGTGTGGTCACAATTTCGGCAACAAATGTAATTATCTTAATTATGATTTCAATATGTAGTTGTGTATTCTAACTATTGGATGATGAATGTTTTGGCCACTATGTTTTGGTTATACGGGGAGGTTTTTACTGTTATCACGGGGTCGTCCTTACTTTCCAAGCAGAGGTATGGGTTTGGTGGGAAAAAATCCCCGGTTCTGCAGACCATCTGTGATTTCATTAGGCGTGGTTGTTTTTCGTTCTTTGCTGTATGGTTACCGTGTAGGAAAATATACATATTTTAGTTCAAGTCGTGTCCGTGGGCTAATTGCAAGTATTAAAACAAGTGACAATAGTAAACAAGTGAACATAACATAAAGTGACTACACGCGGGAGACAAACCATGAGGCCTTCACTACGTTCCCGGTCTACAGTCACAAAACAGTTCCAGTTCCTTGTAAAATAAAATAAAGAGTATTGTATCTAACCTCTATTAGACTAAGGATGATCAACGGGCACTATATATACTGCAATGACATGCTACCCTGACAGGGGGAGGTTTACACCCGTATGGCGGTAACAGACAGGCAACAAAGACGTTGATATACTATGGAGGTTGTCCATTGCAGTTGGCAAGTCGGTGTAAGCACGCGGTTGATGTTCCCGGCTTGAACTATTATTGCATGGCCATCACATATTTTGGTCCTTAAATTGTGGAAAGTAGCTAAGTGAATCACCTTTACTTTTCACAGAACTTTTCAATACTGACAACCAGATCCAGTCAAAAACGACCGAGAGGCCTCTAGCCTTCGGGTCAGCAGACGTGTTTGTTGTAGTGTCCTGAAGGTCACAGAGTAAAACTAAGAGCCAGTCATTCACACCAGCTCACGCTAATAATAACCCCAAACCCAAACCTCTGCTTGGAGAGTAAATAATAACCCCAAACCCAAACCTCTACTTGGAGAGTAAATAATAACCCCAAACCCAAACCTCTGCTTGGAGAGTAAATAATAACCCCAAACCCAAACCTCTACTTGGAGAGTAAATAATAACCCCAAACCCAAACCTCTGCATGGAGAGTAAATAATAACCCCAAACCCAAACCTCTGCTTGGAGAGTAAATAATAACCCCAAACCCAAACCTCTGCTTGGAGAGTAAATAATAACCCCAAACCCAAACCTCTACTTGGAGAGTAAATAATAACCCCAAACCCAAACCTCTGCTTGGAGAGTAAATAATAACCCCAAACCCAAACTCAGGGACTACACCAAGGTGGTCCTTACCGAGAACCCAGGGCACGTGACATGAGAAGCCTTAATAACTACATGTCTTCTTTAAGGGAGTCTGTTGTAGCCTGCCTTAATAACTACATGTCTGCTTTAAGGGAGCATGTAAAGCCTGCCTTAATAACTACATGTCTGCTTTAAGGGAGCATGTAAAGCCTGCCTTAATAACTACATGTCTGCTTTAAGGGAGTCTGTTGTAGCCTGCCTTAATAACTACATGTCTGCTGCCTTAATAACTACATGTCTGCTGGAAGGGAGCCTATTGTAAAGCCTGTTTTACAATCTCCTGTCCTACTTCTAACCTTCACTGCTGTAGGTCGGCTGTCACAGAACCCAACATCGCTCTAAAGTCAGGGCACTGAACACAACATCGCTCTAAAGTCAGGGCACTGAACACAACATCGCTCTAAAGTCAGGGCACTGAACACAACATCGCTCTAAAGTCAGGGCACTGAACCCAACATCGCTCTAAAGTCAGGGCACTGAACACAACATCGCTCTAAAGTCAGGGCACTGAACACAACATCGCTCTAAAGTCAGGGCACTGAACCTAACATCGCTCTAAAGTCAGGGCACTGAACCTAACATCGCCGCTTAAGTCAGGACAAATAGAGCAGACCTTTTGGCTGCTGCAGACAATGGGTTCCATTTGTCAGAACCTGCCTCCCGGCTACTGGGACTGCTGAATCACGATGTCGCAATCACCTTAAGGAGACTCGCTGACAGGAACACTGACAGGAACATGTCCCTGCAATCTCTACTGACAGGAACATGTCCCTGCAATCTCTACTGACAGGAACATGCCCCTGCAATGACGGATTAAGTGTCCTTTTGAACTCTCAGTACATGTGAATGATCAGTTCAGTACAGTTTGGTGCCATAATAATCCGACAGTTGACGTTACGTTTGAGCATAAATTCTTAACCAATTTAGTATGCATATATAAATGGATTTTTACATCCATATCAACAGTAAGACCTTCAGCTGTAACAGCGGGAGGTCAGAGTCAAGTTCAGGGTCGGACATGTTCTGTTAGAACGTCTCTGACGAGAATGACCCAGAGGCCGATGACCTTAGACTCAACCGCCGTCTTTGTTGTGGTGTCCTTTCCATAACCCCATCCATTTCCTGTAGCGCAGTGGGATGTGCACTAGCCTTGCATACACTGCACTAACAGTGGGGTGTGCACTAACAGTGCAGTGTGCACTAACAGTGCAGTGTGCACTAACAGTGCAGTGTGCACCAATGGCGCGGTGTGCACTAAGGAAGTGCAATGTGCACTAACAGTGCGGTGTGTACTAGTAGTCAGGACTAGCCTTGCATTCTGCACTCGCCTTGCATTCTGCTGGTAGTAACTACGTCACTGCTGGTAGTTACCAGACATTCACACGTCCAACTGATGCACGTGCTTTATTTCTTACATGACCAAAGCGTCGCATTGGTATGAGGTAATCGGAACTTCCGATATGATCACCTTTAAGTTATTTCTGCGTGTCATACATTACTGCAAGAGTGTACAAGGCATCAAACGAATAAGAACAATCAAAGTGATATTGCACCAAGATTTCCACCTACAATGGAAAAAATAGACAGTTAGAATAACTGGTCACCTGGTATTTTGACCATTACTCTATCGGGAAACATTTTCTCAGCTTAGGCCACACCAATTTATTTCCTTGGTTAACGGATTCGCCGCTTCGTTTTTTGCCAAAATGAAATAAAAATAAAAACAGAACAAAAATCCATGCTCTCGGGTCCCGAATTGGGGGCCCAAAAATCCACCGGGTACGTTGTAATTTTTCAAACTTTGGGCATAGTTAACAGCGTTAAAAATACATTGCTTCAAGGCAGAAACATTTTTCTGAGTGCAATTTGTTCGGAAAGCTAGGTTGCCTCTTCAAAAGTTCGTCAAATTCTTTTGATATAGAACTCGCCCCCCACCCCCTTTTGCACATGTCACCATTCATGGGACAAAACTTCACTGACGACAAACGTACGGCAGATTTACAAAGTCATCGTACCTGTAACGACATATCATCTCCCTTTTAGATATATATTATATTTAGGAACACATATTGTGTCGGAAACATGTGCTAGTAACGGGCGTTAAAAGTATTATCGGCCGAACGTAACTCGACCAGGGCGGCACATGCACACACACATTCAAAACGATATTTTTTCCAGGGAATATGTAAAAATAACACAACATAACAATGTATTCTGGCATCACAAACTGTATTACTCTCAAAAAGTACAAAATCCTACCACGAACATGGGAATTTGGCAAAGTAAAAAGTCCTCCATGCACGTAAGTCCATTCACTAAAGTTGTTGTTTTTTCTCACGGTCGGAAGAGTCCACCTCGAGTAGGGGGAAACAGGTCCTTTTAATTATAGAAATTACTCTCTGAAAAATACTACATGTACATGTGGCATTCTAACAAAGTTACATCTTATTTAGATACCTATAAACAAGAGTACAATTGCAAATAATGCATCAATAATTACATCTAAATTTTTTAATAAAATGGTTCCCCCTACAAATAAAAAATCCCCATACATCAAAGACTTACCCTAGGCCATTGAATTTGTGGCAACTTGAAGAGTGTGTCAATGTGGCTATTTGTATAATGGGAAATATAAAATGGATACTACCGGTAGTATTTGGGAAAGATAAAAAAAGAAATAAAATATCTGTTAAAGTAGTTCTTTTGCCAATAACTTTTAAACATTCCTGGAAATTTGTCTAAAGCATATATTTAGGATATTGTAAATTTCAAGCTCTAAATAACTTCCATATCAGCCAGACACAATAGAATTCCCAGCCCAGTGGTAAGCTGTGTGCCCTGAACTTTAAGAAAACAATGGGATCTGAACAGAGCACCCTGATTTAAACCACTCTTTGGAAGTTTGAAAGATGAATAAAAGTGAAACCAGTTGGATCGGAGTCTTGTCAACTGACACTCAGTGACAGTTTGTTGTTCATGCGGTAAAGATGTGTATCTTGCAAAATTATACGAATAATTATAAAGGGATGTAATAGAGGTTGCTCATGTAGTAATGGTCCTTTCAGTTCAATAAGTGTCCAATGTAATATCATTTTGTAACTTTACTTAATGGATTGCTTAGACTACATGGCTGTATTGCAGGTAGTCACAAATTTTTATTTTTATTTTTTTTCGCCCGCCCGCTCCATTTTTTTCGTAGAAAAATCCGTTAACCAAGAAATTAAATTGGTGTGGCCTTAAGTAAAAATTAAAAGTGCCCATTTTTAGTTTGATTCAAAACAGCGAACTTGTGGTTGTTCCTGACAGTGGTTGTTCCTGAAGAGACACTTTTAGTATGTGTACGTTAAGTTCTCGTAGTGACATTATGTAAAGAGCAGGTTTAAAATTACATAGTCGATTACATGGCTGTCTGACCTGTGGATGTTTCTAAGCACGTTAAGACAGAGGAATGCACCTGTAAAGGACTGTACCTGTACCCAGCATGTACTTCCGCAGACGGCACAGAAATGGTTTAGCCTTTGTAATTCAAGCAGCAGCAAAGCTGGTTTAGATGAAACTACGAGAATTTGAAGTTAGGTAAATGGTTAGAATCGGTACCATTTTGGGTAAACTTTATATAAAGCCTTGGACAACGTTGTACCCGCTGATGCTCCAATCTTGCCTCACAGCTTCACAGTGCACAGTAAACCTCTCAGCTTAATCACAGTGCACAGTAAACCTCCCAGGTTCACAGTGCACAGTAAACCTCCCAGCTTCACAGTGCACAGTAAACCTCTCAGCTTCACAGTGCACAGTAAACCTCCCAGCTTCACTGTGCACAGTAAACCTCTCAGCTTCACTGTGCACAGTAAACCTCTCAGCTTAATCACAGTGCACAGTAAACCTCCCAGCTTCACTGTGCACAGTAAACCTCCCAGCTTCACAGTGCACAGTAAACCTCTCAGCTTCACAGTGCACAGTAAACCTCCCAGCTTCACTGTGCACAGTAAACCTCTCAGCTTAATCACAGTGCACAGTAAACCTCCCAGCTTCACAGTGCACAGTAAACCTCCCAGCTTCACAGTGCACAGTAAACCTCTCAGCTTCACTGTGCACAGTAAACCTCTCAGCTTCACAGTGCACAGTAAACCTCACAGCTTCACTGTGCACAGTAAACCTCCCAGCTTCACAGTGCACAGTAAACCTCCCAGCTTCACAGTGCACAGTAAACCTCTCAGCTTCACTGTGCACAGTAAACCTCTCAGCTTCACTGTGTACGGTAAACCTCTCAGCTTCACTGTGCACAGTAAACCTCCCAGCTTCATAGTGCACAGTAAACCTCCCAGCTTCACAGTGCACAGTAAACCTCTCAGCTTCACTGTGCACAGTAAACCTCTCAGCTTCACTGTGTACGGTAAACCTCCCAGCTTCACAGTGCACGGTAAACCTCCCAGCTTCACTGTGCACAGTAAACCTCCCAGCTCCACTGTGCACAGTAAACCTCCCAGCTTCACCGTGCACAGTAAACCTCTCAGCTTCACAGTGCAGATTAAATCTCCCAGCTTCACAATACACATTAAACCTCCCAGCTTCACAGTGCACAGTAAACCTCCCAGCTTCACAGTGCATATTAAATCTCCCAGCTTCACAATACACATTAAACCTCCCAGCTTCACAGTGCACAGTAAACCTCCCAGCTTCACTGTGCACAGTAAACCTCCCAGCTTCACTGTGCACAGTAAACCTCTCAGCTTCACAGTGCATATTAAATCTCCCAGCTTCACAATACACATTAAACCTCCCAGCTTCACTGTGCACAGTAAACCTCTCAGCTTCACAGTGCATATTAAATCTCCCAGCTTCACAATACACATTAAACCTCCCAGCTTCACAGTGCACAGTAAACCTCCCAGCTTCACAGTGCATATTAAATCTCCCAGCTTCACAATACTCATTAAACCTCCCAGCTTCACTGTGCACAGTAAACCTCCCAGCTTCACTGTGCATATTAAATCTCCCAGCTTCACAATACACATTAAACCTCCCAGCTTCACAGTGCACAGTAAACCTCCCAGCTTCACTGTGCACAGTAAACCTCTCAGCTTCACTGTGCACAGTAAACCTCTCAGCTTCACTGTGCACAGTAAACCTCCCAGCTTCACAGTGCACAGTAAACCTCCCAGCTTCACAGTGCACAGTAAACCTCCCAGCTTCACAGTGCACAGTAAACCTCCCAGCTTCACAGTGCACAGTAAACCTCCCAGCTTCACAGTGCACAGTAAACCTCCCAGCTTCACAATACACAGTAAACCTCCCAGCTTCACAGTGCACAGTAAACCTCTCAGCTTCACTGTGCACAGTAAACCTCTCAGCTTCACTGTGCACAGTAAACCTCCCAGCTTCATAGTGCACAGTAAACCTCCCAGCTAATCACAGTGCACAGTAAACCTCCCAGCTTCACTGTGCACAGTAAACCTCTCAGCTTCACTGTGCACAGTAAACCTCTCAGCTTCACAGTGCACAGTAAACCTCCCAGCTTCACTGTACACAGTAAACCTCCCAGCTTCACTGTGCACAGTAAACCTCTCAGCTTAATCACAGTGCACAGTAAACCTCCCAGCTTCACTGTGCACAGTAAACCTCCCAGCTTCACTGTGCACAGTAAACCTCTCAGCTTAATCACAGTGCACAGTAAACCTCAAAGCTTCACAGTGCATATTAAATCTCACAGCTTCCCAGTGCGTAGTAAACCTCCCAGCTTCACTGTGCACAGTAAACCTCCCAGCTCCACAGTAAACACACACACGTGCCCCGCCATACGAATATCCCCCCGCCCAGAGCGCCCCTCCTGTGCAAACACGCGTGACGTCCGCATCACGGCGTCGCCCCGGGCCGGGAACAGCTTAGCAAGGGTCACATCAGGCCACAAGGCTTTCACAAGACACCTGACGTAACGTCAAGGTGGGTCACGTGGGCAGTACCTGCACACATAAGTACAGGTGGGCCGGATTCACCTGTGAACACCTTCGGAGACGACAGCGCTCAGGTACGGCACTTTTATACCACTCAGGTACAGCGTTTTTATACCACTCAGCCACGGCGCTTTTACACCACTCAGGTACAACGCTTTTACAACACTCAGGTACGGCGCTTTGGTTCCTTGCAGACCACTAGTACGTCTTGCTGTATTCTTGAACTGTCAGTATGCTATAGCTACAAGTAGCACCGGCTAAAGTAGGTACCGATTCCCTTGTGACGAGAGAGCATTGCCAAGTTACTACTCTGTAAGTCACGTCATCAAAGGCAGAGTGCGCTAGTTCGTTCTCTGCCACGTACGAGGTTAGTCAAGTCATAATTCATCATGAAATCCAACAGTCAAGTCAAATCAAGTCAAAATAGGTACAAGATGTGAGATCGACTATTAGCTACTAGCCTGAATAGCGTTTATATGTATGACCTTTCTGTAGTTTTGCTTCAAACTCAAAACCTTCAGACCCACGTCTTCAGCAGCAGTCTGTCTTTTCGCCGGTCCAGTTGCCATAGGGCTGTATCTGATATTCTTATTGGGGAAATATTAATTATGGTTAATTATGGTAAACATGTTGTGGATAATATTTGTTTGATTGATACCATTTCCCCGTGCCTCTAACACAGACCAGCCCGGACATTTCCCCGTGCCTCTAACACAGACCAGCCCGGACATGTGGACCAACCAGTCTCCCCGGCAGAAGCGGTGCCGCGCGGTGTTCCTGCTCGGCGCGCTGCTGGTTATCCTGGGCTGCTTCAGCGTCGTGCTGGGCGTCACGGCCGCCGTCAGGTTCGCCTGGAGCACCGAGCACCGGCTCAGCGCGCCCGTCTGGGGCGGCGTCATGGTGAGTACGCTAGGAAACTAGCGCTACCTAGCCTTAACTAGCTCTACCTAGCTAGGCTAGGCGTCGTGCTGGGCGTCACAGCCGCGGCCAAGTTCGGCTGGAGCACGGAGCACCGTCTCAGCGCGCCCGTCTGGGGCGGCGTCATGGTTAGTACGCTAGGAAACTATCTCTACCTATCTCTACATATCTCTACCTAGCTCTACCTAGCTCTACCTAGCTCTACCTAGCTCTACCAAGCTCTACCTAGCTCTACCTAGCTCTACCTAGCTCTACCTAGCTCTACCTAGCTCTACCTAGCTCTACCTAGCTCTACCTAGCTCTACCTAGCTCTACCTAGCTAGGCTGGGCGTCGTGCTGGGCTGGTAGATTTATCATGGAACTCGTTTTGTGCACGTTTTTTTTTAAAGATGCTTAAGTGCCTAATACCGCGTGAACCATTTGCCCTGTCACTAGACATGATAAATGATTTCGTTACGAAGATGTAAATTTCAATTTCTAAAATGGTTGGGATTCTGGTCGACCTTTTCTGTCTATCAAGTCAGTAGTGAATGGCAGGTTGCCAGTTTACGTTGTGCAACTTTGGAGATTTAAGGCCTTTCTTTGTTTTGGTTTGCTTTGGTTTCGCGAGCGGGTCGGTATTTTCTGCCCCGAGACAGTTTTATGAACCAAATTAGCAGCTGAAGACACGTACCCAAAACGGTCAAGGCTTTTTCTACGTCGGGCGACCATGCTCCAGTTCGCATGCGCAACGATGGGGTAATCAGTAACACTAGAAATAAACTTCGAAGGCACAAACCGAGCCTGAAACATGTAACGTTAGCTGCACAAACCGAGCATGAACCGTGTAGCTGTATGCCACGATGTTAAAATAAAGAATCGTATCGTCTGCATACAAAGCCAACTTACATGGCAGTATACAATTAGAAAGATCATTTATGTACACACAAATGAAGGGGTCCAAGAATGCACGCCTGAGGAACGTCGCAAGTTATCTGTAATGTTTTGGGCAAGACTAGGTTAGGCACGCACACTGAAACCTGCCAGTCAAATACATGACATTTCGTCAACACTGCGGGCTTTGAGTTTACTTGACATGATGTCATAATTTAAGGTATCAAAGGCCCTGGACAAGATGGCACCAGTTTGTTGTTTTTTTGTCGATTGACTCACAGTCCACTTTTACAAACTTTAGGGCAATTTCACCAGAATGGCGTTTTCTGAAGCTGGCTGGCATTGTGATTATGAGTGTAGTCGGTATTGGTTAAAAAGGTAGCCTTGGGAATGTGTAAGTAAGAACATCAGTGACGACAGAATTTGTTTTCCAGGTCATCGCGACAGGCGCAAGTACCACGTACGCGATCCAGAAGAACAAGCACAAGCATCTGGTAGGTTTTATAATATAGGCTTTATAGTCTTGGTAGGCTTTATAATATAGGCTTTATAGTCTTGTCTTTAAAACCTGGATTACAAATTGTTTCTGATGTCTGGAAAAGGAACAAGTGTCCGGTGGGTAAATTTTGACCCTGAAGTTCTGGCCACCTGCTGTGTACTTTTGACCCGAGTTATTTTTATCCGGTTGCAATGTGGCATATTTTTTAACTTATGGCGGTAAGACGATCTTTTTCCCCAAGGCAAGTGTCAATTAAGGTGCCACTTAAGGTGACTGTGGCAATAGGTTCGTAAACATTGTTCAGGCAACCCTGTTCTCAGCTGCCTCTGGTTTGAAAAGTCTAGCCCAAAGTTAGTTTGCTGCTGAGTTACCGGGCGTTTGAAAGGTTGGTCTCAGGCGACTTCATTACGAGAACACGAGTGTGTAAAAGTTCTTAACGTATCTGAGCGACATGAGAAGAGAGCTGTCACCTTTTTAAACTGTCCCTTTCCTTTTGCAGTACTACTTGTTACTGGTGTTAAACTGTCCCTTTCCTGTTGCAGTGCTACTTGTTACCGGTGTTAAACTGCCCCTTTCCTTTTTCAGTACTACTTGTTACAGGTGTTAAACTGTCCCTTTCCTGTTGCAGTACTACTTGTTACTGGGAGTCAGCTTGTTAAACTGTCCCTTTCCTGTTGCAGTACTACTTGTTACTGGGAGTCAGCTTGTTAAACTGCCCCTTTCCTGTTGCAGTACTACTTGTTACTGGTGTTATACTGCCCCTTTCCTGTTGCAGTACTACTTGTTACTGGTGTTAAACTGTCCCTTTCCTGTTGCAGTACTACTTGTTACTGGTGTTAAACTGTCCCTTTCCTGTTGCAGTACTACTTGTTACTGGTGTTAAACTGTCCCTTTCCTGTTGCAGTACTACTTGTTACTGGTGTTAAACTGCCCCTTTCCTTCTGCGGTACTACTTGTTACTGGTGTTAAACTGCCCCTTTCCTGTTGCAGTACTACTTGTTACTGGGGGTGAGCGTTGCCGGGATGACGGTTTCCTTTCCGCAGTGGATCCTGTCGCTCTCCGGGCTGATCAGCGGGGACCAGCTGTGCTCAGGATCTGCTCTGGGACTGAACAATCACCAAGACACGTAAGTCTGGGACTCAGCAGTCATCAAGACACATAAGGGTGACAAAGTAGTTGCCTTGTCTTTTTAAAGGCTCTCGTTAGATTGTAGAGTTTTCAACTGATGGATCTTGAGCTTTCTACACACAAAGCAGAAGGGTTGACGGTAGTTGTACCAAATCCGACGACCCAATTGTTGTTTATATTTACGTACTGAATGACACTAATTCTAAGCTTAATGTTTTCCAGGCCGAGGGACTACGTTGCTGCCAAGGCTCTGCATGGGGTTTGTCTGGTGCTCGGGTTTGCGGAGACGCTCGTCAGCTTCAGTCTGGCCATCTTAGCCAGTGTCGGCATCTGCGACAACGGAGAGGTAGGTGAACAATACGGCCGTATTAGCCAGTGTCGGCATTTGCGAGAAGTAGTCTGGCCAGATAAACCAGAGTCGACATCTGCGACAATGGGGAGGTAGTGAACTGTCTGGCCGTATTTGTATTTATGTTTGTTTGTTTGTTTGTTTGTTGTCCCCCAGACGTCGACTTCCGTGTTGGAAAGGCAAAACCGTCTGTCCGTCCGGCGCGGCAGTACCCGAGCAAGCAGCAGGAGAGGTGGGCATTCGTCTATACTCAGAAATCATGACATAGTTACTGATTTATACTTAGAAATCATGACGTGGTTACTGATTCATACATTCATGAAAATTGGTTTTCCACGGCATTTAGTTTGCTCTACGTGACTAACATTGATATCTACACTATATCTTCATTGCGTAGTGAAAACGCTTAAGGTATAGTTCTTTAATTTTAATATGTGTATATACTTGTGATTCCAGCGAGGCCGGCGGTGGTTCGGCTACATCTCGCATCAGGATGCCGTTTGAACCCGCCGCCTTACGATGCAGAACCACACACCGGGCCCAGGGCACCGTACTGTACAGAAACGCACGCCGGGCCCAGGGCACCGTACTGTACAGAAACGCACGCCGGGCCCAGGGCACCGTACTGTACAGAAACACACATAGGACCCAGGTCTAACACCTCCCCGCCCCCTTATACTGCCGAGCCCGGGCCCGGGTCACCTGCAGAACCACGCGCCGGGCCCAGGACAACACACGCCGGGCCCATGTCCCATTCGTCCCCGCCGCCTTACGTTGCCGAGCCCGGGCCCAGGTCTCTCTCTCGGCCCGGGCACTCTGTAGAACCACCCGTCGGACCCAGGACACCTGCGGAACCACAGACCGGGCCTAGACCTCACGCGTCGCCGCCGCCTTACGCTGCCGAGCCTAGGACACCGTACTGTACAGAAACGCACACCGGGCCCAGGGCACCTGTGGAACAACACACCGGGCCCAGGGCACCTGCGGAAACGCACACCGGGCCCAGGGCACCTGTGGAACAACACACCGGGCCCAGGACTCTCACGACCCCGCCGGACGGCACCATGCGCGAGCCTCCACCGCCGTACCAGTCCCGGGAGGACCTGTCTCGGGTCTGACACCAACACGTCCAGATTTATACAGCTTATTTTAGACATTAGAGTAGCCACTTGCACAACATCGTCTTTATTCTTTGTGTGTTTTTATCCTGTTGAATGCAATAAGCCTCGGCCAATAACTTGCAGTAAACGCATCATTTTATTTGCTTACATAAATGTAAAATTTGTAGTGTTTCCAAGAACTACGGACAGTTGAGTATTACCGCCACCGTAATTAAGAAAAGAATGTAACGGCGAGTCGCGTATCTCTCTCCTATACCTAATAACCTGTACCGACTGGCGCCCTCTGGCGTCCATTACTGGTATGGCACATATTCCCAGACATTTGGGTGGTGTTGTATATCAAACTCGTGGAGGGTGGCAGGCCAACATTAGTGATACGTGAGAGAACTTGATGTTTGCAAAATTTACGTAGACATTCAATATGTCAACTACCAACACACATGTGCTCCCATGACATATTTATGCACTGCTTGCCAATTGTTGTCACGACAGAGGAGCTGATTTTTGTAATAAATGTTTTAATCTTACTGACTCGACTTCTTTCCTAATGGGTTCTGCAAAATGCATCACTCCCGACACAAATAAACACATATATAGCTGGCCTTTGTAATGACCAGTATTACTAGATACTAGCTACTATGTACCACATGTACTTACTTAATAAAAACACGTGGCAGTTTTGATAGTAGCACGTTCGCTGCTTGACGCTTTGTGGCAAATTATGCGTGACTGAGAGTCTGTCATGCAATACCTTATTCAGCCGCATGGGGGCTACTGGTTTCGGGGTTCCTGAAAATGGCGCGCCATTTCCGCCATCACCATGGAGAACGCGTCATGACTCGGGACTGAGGGGGGGTAGGAGTACTGCAGGAGGGGCGCGACCTTCCTCAGGTTGTCCTGCAGCAGCTTTATTCTCTCTGGCGGGATGTTCCGGAGTATGTCCAGGATTGAGCTGTTCCTCTCCGTCACGTCTGTCCCGTCTATGCTGACCGTGAACTCGCTGTAGTTCAGCACTTTGTCGAACGGGTATCGAACCGGGTGGTCAAGGGTGAAGGTCACGGGAACGCATCCACACGCAACGGCGTCGTAGAAGGACTTCCTGGTGGGCGAGTCTCCGGGGGGTTGCACGCAGAAGACGGAATGGCGCATCCACTCTACAACGTTCCCCTCCCAGTTCCCCCGGCACTCTGGAGTGAGCAGCCAGACCGGCCGGCCGTCTCTCCGCCTGGCCTCCTCACGGCTGTAGCGCCGGTCCGTGGCGCGGAACTGCGGCCTGAGCGCCGTTCGGATGCGGTGCGCGTTTCTGGAGCTGGCCGCCAGGAACACGAAAACGTCCCGCGAACCTGGCTCGCCGGCAATGTGTGACGCCTTCAGCTCAGCAACGTGTGACGCCTCATCCTGATGGCTACTGGATATCAGATGTCCGAACGCGGGGTACGGCGCCACGATGAGAGGGCGGCCCTTCCGGCCGAAGTGTGCCCGCAGTGCCGGGGAGAACTCCTCCTCTATCCCGGCGAACACGATGCTGCCGGCCTCGGGCAGCGCCAGGAAGCCGCAGTCCGGGCTCCACTGTTCGCGCTCGATCTTCCCCAGTGCCATGAGGTGCGGCTTGCCGCGGGACAGGTACGGGTACCGGCCCGTCAGGTGCGAGACCAGCCGCCGGTTCAGGGCGCCGGCCTGCAGGTGCGGGCAGAGGCACGCCAGCCCGGAGTAGTAGGGGATGTAGAAGGCGTCTGCCGCGCGCGGGTCCAGGGTGCGGTGGCGGCTGTGGCGCACCTTGTGGTGCAGGATCACCTCCAGTGCGAACATGTGCGTGCGGCGGAACGACGTGTTGCCGTGGCGCGCGAACTCCGGACCCATGCCGGAACTGCCGAGCCGGAAGCAGCCGCCAGTCGCCTGCTCCACGCAGCTGACGATGTTCCTGTTAAACTCCGCGGGAAGATCGTACACGTACAGTTGGAACCCTGCCGGGATGCTGTTCTGCTGCAGCGGATCCTGCAGGGCTTGTTCCCGCCCTTCCTGCTGCAGGGACTGCAAGGCCGGAATCTTCCTCAGCTGCAGCGGATTGTGTAGTGCCGGATTCTTCTGCAGCGGATTGTGTAGTGCCGGATTCTGCTGCAGCGGATTGTGTAGTGCCGGATTCTGCTGCAGCGGATTGTGTAGTGCCGGATTCTGCTGCAGCGGATCCTGCAGGGTCCTGGGAGTCCTGGATATAAAAGGAAAGAGAAGGTCATGGCGTCTGTTTCTATACGGGAGAAAAACCATGGAAAACATGCTGACCATCTTAAATATAGAATTATACGGCAGGTGTGTACAGGTAAAAACGGCAGGTGTGTACAGGTAAAACGGCAGGTGTGTACAGGTAAAAACGGCAGGTGTGTACAGGTAAAACGGCAGGTGTGTACAGGTAAAACGGCAGGTGTGTACAGGTAAAACGGCAGTGTGTACAGGTAAAACGGCAGGTGTGTACAGGTAAAACGGCAGGTGTGTACAGGTAAAACGGCAGTTGTGTACAGGTAAAACGGCAGGTGTGTACAGGTAAAACGGCAGGTGTGTACAGGTAAAACGGCAGGTGTGTACAGGTGAAACGGCAGGTGTGTACAGGTAAAACGGCAGGTAGGGTGGCGTGTGAGTATAAATCCCAGCGGAAGAGAAAAACGCGAGGGAAGGATTGATGACAAATCCCTGTTCACACCGGCTCATTATTAATTCAGCATCTCGCCGTTTGCCTGTTTGGAGAAATAACATGGTTTAAAACCAGATACGGGTCGGAGCATTATATGTCATGAGGAGAAATGTTTAAAGAGAAATGGATGTACACCCAAGTCAAATTTCGATTTGAAAAAAATGAAGCTAGTTTTAGCAGCTTTCACGAATCTGCTTCCGTAGGTACACAAACGCCACGTACCCTGCAGGCAGTGCCTCGGTCATATATAATGTTCGTGTTGTACAATTTCTGCCAGGCTTTGACAAGGATCGGCGACTGTGCTGATAATGTCATCAATATGGCCTTACACCTGCCGGCATTACTGAGTACTACGGGTAAAGGGCTTTTGACTTGCGTTAGTGGGGGGGGGGGCAGCCAGTTCTAGTCTGTACGCATGAAGCATCTCCGTTAGATTGTAGTGCCTGTGCGTTAAAGTGCGAGCAGCGAAGCACCTGCCCAATAACCCAAATACAGCTAGAACTACACACCCACTGTCCTATACTAAAATAACTATAACATATAAAATGAAAACTACGCACCTGTCCGATAGCCCGCCGGCCTCCCCAGCTCCGAGCTCGGCCGACTGTCCGGTCCCGTCAGAGGTTCTCCGCAGGTACAGCAGAGTTCCGCAGAGAAAAACCAACAGCAGAAACACCGTCTTCAGGCTCCGGCTTCTCAGCAGGAGCGCAGTCTTCAGGCCCTTGTTTCTCAACAGGAGCGCTTTCAGGCCTCTAATTCTCAATAAAAACGCAGCCTTCACGGGTCTGCTCGTCCTGGACATTTTGCAAAACAGCAGCGGCAGATTTGGTGACGTCATGCCCATCCTAACATACTCAGGTGTTGTCTCTCCGGAATCGATGTGGGTTATTGATTAGGATCAATTTGGGTTATTAATAAGAATCGATATGGATAATAGATAAGTAATCCATATTTTTCTCCACCGGTCAGCGTGAATGACGCTGTCTGAACGGCAGAAGGCGGACAGAGTCAGCAGCAGCGCTGCACCGCGGGCTCACCCATCAGGTCACGCGAGGTCAGATGTGGGGATGGACCTTTTCAAAGTGAGCTTTTATCATGACGTCTGACCCCCAGGATTTGTTGCCGGGAACTCCGGCCGTACGCGGATTTCTGGATACTCCATCAGCTCCACTAGCTATCAAAGTAGCTACTCTCCAAGTAAAGCAATATTTTTACTATCATAAATGAGTGAATGAATGAATGAATCGCTAAGAGACGTATGCTTTTAACCCATATCTACACGTAGATGCATACATGTATGATACATATATTTACATATTTATTAGGATGTTTCAGCTGCATCGAAGCCCATTGATAACATTGTATCTATCACCATCCGAAAAAAAAGCGACAAAGAACGGAAAACAACGCGCCATTCTATTGAGCAGCGCCGCCTGTGTTCTTTAAGCGGAAGTGCAGCACATATTGAGCAGCGCCTCCTGTGTTCTTTAAGCGGAAGTGCAGCGCATCACGCCCGTTTTTTGATCATTGCAGGAAGTCACGTGAGGCTCTGACTTGACAGACACGTTTTTGTGACGGAGTTACCGATAAATGTTAACATAAGATATCACAAGAACAATAACAATAACAATAACAGTCATGATGGAGTCACCAAAATATTTAACATAAGGCAATAGCAAATCCGTCTCAGCATCTTCCCAAAATTGCGAATGATGCAAGAACTTATCGCTATTGTAATGCTGTTAGGCGTCAGGCTGGGAGGGTCGCCGAGAATTTACCATGGGGCCGCTGAAAGCCACGTTCCACGCATCAAATCTGTGCCACTCGTGACGAGTCTGTTTGTGGTTGTACGCCCCTCCCACGTCTATGTGTGAATCTACTAGTGTCGATATGTAGAACACTTCCTGAATCTTTAGCCTACCTAAAGACAATACAGACTGATCGTCATGTAACACACACTCGGCATACAATTTCCGTTCCCAGATTGTTGTTTGATAATAGCAGGCTAAAATGGCACGACAGGTCACCCTGTTCTGGGAATGCAGTGAGGACTGAGGTCAATGACCCCAGTGATGACTTACTCGCGGGTGAAATTTCATGGGTGTAAAATTTCATGTATTTTATTTTCCTTCATGTCAGCAGACATGTACAAGACCGTTAGTGTGACGTGTGAAGGCCGTGTGTCAATCATCGCGGTCATTGACCCTGACCATCATCCCCGCACGTGCGCGTCATCAATCTTCCCATGGTGCTCTGCGGTAACATCGCGTAAAGGAAACATCCCAAAAAAATATGGTGTATAGCAAAATGTCAGGATCAAAACGGAGGGTTGGTTGGGAATCTTGAATCCGTGGCGACAGGAGACAGTCATAAACCTGTGTGTACCAAGGAATAATCCCCCACCCCCCAACCACTGTGTTTTGATGTTGATCTCCCGATCGCGAAATAAAATTGGTCAAGCCTTATCAATGCTATCCCAAACCCCGACCACAGCATTATAACGGGCGATCCTCCACCCACACTATGATGTCCTCCGTTTGTGGAACCGTATTTTTGGCGCGGGATGTGGGGAGTTCAGCTGGGGAATGTCGGTCCCGGAACAAACAGTTCTCTGGTTACTGTCACAGCAGCCGGAGCGCTGCCGGGGAGATAATTGCACGTCTACAAGTTGGCACATCGCGCTACAAGCGGCTGGGGAGCGTACACCCCCTGTCTAACACAGAAAACCCCTACTTTTAGACCCCATACCCATCCCACCATCCCACCACCACTATAAGCGGTTGAGGAGCGCTGACAAACATGTAAGACAGCATAGACCCTCCCCCCAACTGCATGTACCACCCAAACCATTATTTCTAAACAAATGTGGCTCTCCGTGATGCGCGTTTCATGCACAAAGTAAAAACAATGAATCGATATTTGTTGTGTAGTACAGGCTACCGGGAAGTAATGTATTCATATACTTTACAGAACATTGTACTGAGCTGCGTGACTTTATTCCTACTTTGTTCCAACTTCCTTAGCCGCGGTGAAAATGAGAAGTTCCTTGCCGCTTCTTGAGCTCGCCTTGCGCCAAGCTGAGGAACCTTAGATATACCACAGAATCCTGCGGACTTTGTTAGGATGTCTGGATCTGGCGGCCTGACCGGAACATCCGGTTTTGGAACATGGCGAGGAGCGATATCTGTGTGCTGAGTCAGCGGAAAGTAGCGGGGGTGAAACGACTTCAGATGTTTGTCGTGTAATAATGCAGACACGTGTTGGAACAACATGGGGGTACGGGTGGGAGAGGATGGGATGTTTTGATCACGTATGTCACGTGACGTGATGCCTGATGGAACAGGACAACATGAGGAGGGGTGTTTTGAGCACATCACGTGACGGAACAACATGAGATGTGTTTTGATCACGTAACGCACGTCAAGCCGCCTGACAACGCTCGGCTCTATGCAAATCCGCGGCCCGGGCGCATGCGCACACCCGCCCGCCGGCCGCGATGTTTTGACGGGAACTTTCACTTGTTGTGACGGGACATCCGGGACATCCCGGACATCCGGGACCTGTTTCTGACGGAAGATAAAAATAACGTCTGAAATCGTGCTGAAATCGCCCCCCTCCCTTCCATGGCAAAATCATAGCCAAAAGGCCTGCGGTGCCCATATCTGCTTGGAGCTTAGTGCACAATTGATCATGAATGTTGCTGACTTTCCCAAGGCTAAAAGGCCAACATGCAGTTCACTGAAACTCGGGCTTAAATCGGGCAGAAGGCCGCTCCGTGGAGACGTGAAACGTTGTCCTGCCGCCTTCTGCTCGCTAGCTGCTCCGCTGGGCACAGGCTCCCAGGGAAGACTTTGCGCTGAGGGTGTTCTTTAAAAGGGTTTTTGTAACGTTGGGGGTAAAAGGCCTTTCTAATTAGCTGAGAAAGCAGGTGATTCGGGTCGGAGGGGGTAATTGTACACATCCTCCAGGCGCGACGGGACGGAATAAAGTACTGCTGAACTGAACAATCGCACGCTCGACTCGGCAGCGACAATGGCGGGAAAAGTGACATCACGCTTCGCTGCCTCCGTAAGGGACACCTGGTCTCGTGGCTTACGTGCTCAAGACAATGCCTCTCATTCTTAAATGTCACTTGTGAAGATGTCAGCAAAAAAAGTCAAGAAGCACAAAATCACTTTTTCAGCTGAATGTTGCCACACACACCGCAGTTAGAAGGAGCGCGCGACCTGCGCAACTCCTGCACAGCGTTAAAGGCATCCAGTGCAGTTTTCATGGCTTTGAAACTCGATTTTTCAAAGCCAGTATTCTAGCCATTTTCCTACATACTGAGTTGAAAACACACTGTCCCAATGTATATTGACCCTCGTGGAACAAAAATACCAAAAATTCTGACGGAAAATGATTACTAGTACTTGGCTGATTTTAGGGTACCACCCATAAAATAAGGACTCATCTTGGGGCTTGTTTCTCCAGTATTAAGTACCCAAAGTATGTTCTAATGATTCAAATGTGCTAATGTGAAACAGTATGTGTCAATATCACAAAGATTGCCTTATTCAGAGACAGAGTATTTCCAGTTTTGCTGCCCTGAAATGGCATTGGAAACCTTTAAGCCGCGGCACAACCACCTTGCAGCCTTGGCGGGAAAGTCTCCCGGATTCCGGTCACGTCTGGGTTTGTTTTCGGCCTGTCGGGCGGTGATTGGGAGTCTGTAGCTGCAGGCCGGGACCTTGGCTGGGTCAGAGTTCCCGCTCGGATTACTTGGCTGGGACAGTGGGAGGTCCGCACGTACCGCCCTTAACAACAACTCCGTACCGAGGGAGGAGCTTCGCTCGCGCAGGTTTAAATAGCAGCAGTGCGACTGGCAGGCAGATCCACAGTAAGCAGCAGGTCTGTACACAACCGGAGCCACCATGTCCCTGTTAGCAGCGAGACTACCGACCGGAGCGTCTCTCCGCGCGCTGGGCTGCCTGGCCCGGCCAACTCACCCGCCAGCCGCCCGGCCAACTCACCCGACAGCCGCCCGGCCAACTCACCCGCCAGCCGCCGCCTGCCAGGCCGTCAGGACGTACAGCGAGGGCGAGAAAAGTGAGTGGATTCATGCTATTATTACAGGAGAATAGAAATGTAAGAAATGGAGACATGTCACCGCACTCTCCCGTTATAAACCACACATACACAGCAGTCAGGTGGAAGCGCTATAGCAGCTAGCCTAGAATCTGTCTGGTAAAAATGGTGGAAATGTCGGGGGTTTCCAGACGGCCGCATAGCAGCGCGCTCAACGTTCAACATGACCGTGGAAAATACCACAGACACCAGCACTGTACGTTCTCAATCATCATCCGACGGGAATTTCGGCTGCACTTTAAATTTATAATTGCTCAGTGTAGAATATAGATGCTGAGAGGCCCAACGCGAGGTACTGGATACGCGAGGTACTGGATAGGCTTTCTGTTATGATTATTTCCGATCGACGCACAATTCTTTTACTTCGTGGAACGCAAATCAAAATATTGGCGTCTGTTTTTGTTTGTCTGTTTGTTCTGTTTTGTTTTGTTTTTCTGTGTCTTTCTCGGTCCAAACCAAAACATTCATGTATATTCATGAGAATCTACCGTCAGCCGCAGGTATGTTTACTTCCCGCCGTTCGGTGCTCCCAACTCGCTAATGTAGGGCAGATATACAGGCCTGGTGTCTGCAGCTTTCCTCATATTTCACCTTCACCTTGCTAAAGCCTTGCACTTGATCCCTCTCTATAATTTATATAATTTACTGCCACTGTGCCGGCAACAAAATCACTGCACATCTCGGCCTGGTTCCGATGGACGCAATCACTCGTAACTTCCCACCGATTGTCACATCCTACCTGGTGCTTCGGTTTCTTTAATATAATTACACGCAGACACGACTGAAATGGCAGGTTACACGTCTGGATTAAATGCACTTGGCTTGGGTTACGCATTTCGGCCTGGGTTACACATATCGGCCTGGGTTGCGCATTTCTGGTTAATTATGTGAGCTGCGCATTTTACGTGGCCATGTTGTCCGCCAGGAAATTATCTCCGCGCTTGAACTTGATGGACTTGTAACAGCCGATAATATATCTTACAGCATCAAATATCCGAGTCTGGATAGCAGAACAATATCGCATTTCTCATTCTGATGGTATCGTCTGGTGCTCAGTTTCAGCTGTGATCATGAGCCCACATGTACAGCCGCATGTTGCTAATGTGTTTCTGTATATACGCGTAGTCTTTGGAAGAAATCAATCAATCAATCAACCAATCTTTATTGCGCAACAATTGCAATGGATACAATGTATGGCAAGTGTTTAAATCAAAATGATGTGATGTCGTCGTGCGTTGTTGCTGGTAAAGCTCAGAATTTACAGGCGACGCGGCGTTTCTCTAACTGTTAACATCGGAGCAGGGCGCACTTTTGGCTGCTGGCCAGATCTAGGATCAGGCGGTAGTTATTCCGCTCACGGCCGCGACTCCGTCCCGAAATTAGGTTTGACTCGGATTCTCCCCGCTATATTCGCGTTTCCCACATTCGGGTGTGCGGGTTAATGCCGTTATTGTGCTGTAGTTGTGCTGTAGTTGTGATATAGTTGTCCTGTTATTTTGCTACAGTTGTCCTGTTATTGTGCTATAGTTGTGCCGTTATTGCGCTGTAGTTGTGCTATAGTGTTTTGCTGGTAGATGTGCTGTTATTGTGCTGTAGATGTGCGATAGTTGTGCAGTAGTTGTGCTATAGTTGTGCTGTAGATGTGCTGTAGTCTTGCTGTAGTTGTGCTTTAGTTGTGCCGTTATTGTGCCGTTGTTGTACTGTAGTTGCGCTGTAGTTGTGCCGTTATTGTGCTATAGTTGTGCTATAGTTGTGCCGTTATTGTGCGATAGTTGTGCTGTAGTTGTGCCGTTATTGTGCTGTAGTTGTGCTGTTATTGTGCTGTAGTTGTGCTGTAGTTGTGCGGTTATTGTGCTATAGTTGTGCTGTAGTTGTGCTGTAGTTGTGCCGTTATTGTACGGTAGTTATTCCCCTCAAGGCAGTTTCTCCGTCCCGACATCAGGTTTGCCCCTGACTCCCCCCGCTATATCCTCCCCGCGGCCGCTAAGCCTCCATCTGCCTACGTGCCCGCCAGACACACGCCAATGGCGGCACGGGGACCGACGCAAAACCACATTTCTGCAGTTTCTCTGCAAAATCAAACTTACATTCCTATTAATAATTTTATTAGATGGCTAAAGATCAAAATTTTTCATTCACAACCACAACACATCGATACGTCGGCTGTTGTAAATAAGTGGTTGTGAATTAACTTATGATGATATCAAAAATATACATGTAACATTTTCCAAGAAAAATAACGAATAGCTTCTCTCTGACCCTGACCCTGTGCCAGGCGCGAGACGTGCCGCCGTGGCTAGTGGCAGCGCTGGAAAAATCTATGGACATTAGAGTAGGCAGAGTCTGGAGTAGAGTATGATCTCTTATTGTCATTCGCGGACGGTGCGGACAACCCATACAATTGTAGTCATATCATATCACACTACTGGTGGTATTCCATATACTAATGTCAAGTGTTGGCAGCCAGACGGACCCCTGCAGCTGAGGGTGGATATAACAAAGGTTAGAACAGGGACAAATCGCACCGGGAGGCGGCGGGGTGTTCTAGATCTGCTGACTGTTCGCAGACCTGAGGCAATGCGCCCCCATCACCCCCCCCCCCGTCCGTCAGGTGGCTTATCCACAACACAAAACACAATGTTCTTCTGCTAGACGCAGCAATTTGGCGCGTTTGTGCTTATAGCGTGAAGACCTGTCAGACGTCCAGTTTGTGCCTATAGCGAGAAGGCTTGTAAAAATGTTTGCGCTTATAGCATGGAAACCTGTCACTCTTTACTTAGCCGTGAAGGTTTTTGGTCCGTTCAACCCACGAAACCTGGATAACAGACAGAACAAAGGTCACTGACCTGCTAGCTCAAGGTCATTCTGTCTGAAAGTCAGAAAAAACAAACCCAGACGCGGAACTGACCGTGTTCTGATGTTCAGGAGATGTTTATGGTGAAAACTCAAATTTTCAGGTATTGATTTCAGTTGTGTTGACAATAATAAAAGGACTGCCACCCAAAACGGCAAGCACAAACGAAAACCACAATGGCAACTTTGTTTTGAAATGCATCTCGAGTGGGTGTGTCCATGTAGTAGCAGGGAGACGTGCATTCTCCAAACCATCGCAGCCTCTACAAGTCATCGCCGTGCTTTTATCCCCAGTAAAACACGGAGACTCGGGATGTTGTCACGCCTGCAGAACCCATCTATCATGTCACTAACGATGTCACACGAACCCAGGACTGACATGACGTCCTCACACAAACCCACGGGAGCCGCACAGTAGCGACACGGTAAATAGGACGTGTCTGCGGGACAAAGTTTCTGACGTGTCGTGTTAAATTTCCCGAGACGGGCCTATTCACGCGCGGCATTGACCCACATACCCGACACGGCTGGCTGGCAATAACAGGATACCTGCCTTAGTCACGTTTCTCTCAAAAGCAGCATAATAAGAGCACAACTACAGGACAAAGTTTCTGGTGTTAACGTTACTGCTGACAACACTGTCGGCCGCCAGAGACGGGCCTATTCACGCGCGGCAATGACCCACATACCCGACACGGCGTGTCTGGTCAGGTTTCTCCAACTAACCTAACTACGGCACAACTACAGGACAACTACAACACAACTACAACACAACTACAACACAACCGCAGTGCAACTACAACACAACCGCAGTGCAACTCCCCGCCATGTCAGTACTGTGATGTATTGTACATGTGTTTTATGGGTTTTTACCTGAAATAAAGAATGAATGAGTACATGGTGTACAAAATGGCTTACACTATCAGCTACAGCATTGTTGGCAAAGAAAAGAAACAGCTAGACCTGACAGCCAAAAAAGTGTGAAGAAACAGAGCTACAACATTAACAGCCAAGAAATTGTGTATACACTCTGGTTCTGCGCTCGGGACATCCCAGTTTGCCCTTGGCCCTGCGTTCTGGCTTCTGGAGCGGGACATCCCAGTTTGCCCTTGGCCCTGAGTTCTGGCTTCTGGAGCGGGACATCCCAGTTTGCCATTGGCCCTGCGTTCTGGCTGCTGGAGCGGTGCCACTAAGTGATTCCACACGCCGGGACTTTGTGGCATCCAGAGGGACTCTGTGGGCCAAAGTTGGGAGCGAGTTGAAATACTTACCGTCTCTGCAACTGTAGAACCTTAAGTTAACGCGGACAGACAGAAAGACATGTGTGCGGCAGATTTACGGCTCGTGTCGTGAACTTGGAAAAACTGCTGCTTGTAGAGTTCACAACCCTCAGCGTTAACTATCTGTGATATTGGTCCATCTGATAAAACGTAAGATCCACAGTACAGTAATACATGTAACGTTACATGTGCTGTTGGTAGTATGTAATAAAGTAAGTCCACAGTACAGTAATGCGTACTGTGGCTAGTCCATATAATAAAGCACGTCCGCAGTACCCAGCAATAAATTATAGTCTTGAATTTATGTGGGTCAGTCCTGCGTGTCTTCTTTGATGTATTTTTCTTTTAGATCAACTTAGATCAAAGTTCATCTGTCTACTACGAGCCTGTAAGCTATATTTGACATGAGCTCTCGGCCGGGCCCGTAAATTACCTCAGCTGGTATGTCTGAACTCTGTAGGGTACTTCTGTACCGTCTGACACACTTATACATACAGCCCTCACACATGGACATGGACGTGTACGGTGTATTTCTGCATCATATGTTCTGCATTATTGACATATTGGCACACGTACAGTTGTCACACTTGTATATAGACATGTCTCTGTATCATGCGTTCTGTCTTTTGGACACGCGCTTTATTAGTAATAATCACATGAATGATTAATTTTAGTGCATATTTCAGTCCGATGTTGGAGAATAATGCATGTAATGTAACGGGACCTAATCTATAAAGTATGTTATATAAGGAGTATCTATATGACAGAAAAAATGACACTACCTGTAACATCGACATGAGATCGATGTTTGAAGGCAAAAGAATTCAGCAAGCGTCTTTGTAACAGTACAAGTGTTCACTGTTTACTTTTGTATGAAAGAGACAGTTTTTCACCGCCATGTTTGTTTGTTTATTTGTTTGGTTGTTGACTGCAGATCCCGCGAACATAGCCGGCTACCACCCGGGTAAAGTGGACAAGTTCGCTCTGCGGGCCACCAGAAAGGTCAAGAAGGGGGAGGAGTATCCACAGGAAGTCAGGTGAGTTAGGGTTAGGGAATATCCACTTCAGGTGAGTTAGGGTTAGGGAATATCCACTTCAGGTGAGTTAGGGTTGGGGAACACAGAAGGGATATCCACAGGAAGTCAGGTGAGTGGAAGGAACAAGGGCTTCAAAAAGAGGTTCAGTATTCATGTTGGAACACAGCACAGAGGATTACAACACATGACACACCATTTATTACAGCACATAATGCGTTATTTAAACAGTACAGAGGATTACAACATATGATACTAGTACACCATTTATTGCAGCACATGCATAATACGTTATTTAAACAGCACAGATGATTACAACACATGACACACCATTTATTGCAACATCAATACGTTATTTGAACAGTACAGGGGATTACAGCACGTAACAAGTAAAATCTGAGATTTTATACCTCCGGGCTTTTCATTGTATATTTTTATATAGGGTTTTAAACGAAGAATTTATCGAGACCGGACACCCCTCTGTGTGAGGGGTCATATACGTGGACCAGACCGAGAATAGCTTAAAAACGCCAAAGGTCAACGGTCGTGACCACTTTCACGCTAAAAGGGGTGTTTTGGGGCCACCAAAGGCACCATTTTCACGCCCGAAAACACATATACAATATAAACAAAGGAACGTGCATCATCTGCAGCCCAATAGCAAAACATATACCGAGTCTCAAAAGAATCCGTCCACCCAAACGCGAGAAACAGCTGCGAACATGAAAATCTAAATCTCTCACAAAACCCTTCCGCGGAAGGATGTCTCCTTCCCCGGAGGTAATAATAGTCGTTATTTAAACTGCACAAAGGATTGCAGCACATCATCATCATAATACGTTATTTTAACAGCACAGAGGATAACAGCACGTCATAGCCGTTCATTGCAGTGCGGGTTTGTGGGTCAGACCTGATGTGGTCGGTATGAAGTTATGACCACCAAATCAAACATGAAAGGCTTCCTGTGTCACCAGATATGAGTCGCGTTGGCTGAGGGACATGAAAGCCCTTCTGTGTCACTGATAGCACCCGGGTCGGATGATTGACAGGTTCAGGTCCATGAGCGTGCGTCAGGCATGCGGGGTCACCTAAGGTCATGATCATGTGGCATGACGCTAAAAATGAGGCCATGGTCAAATGTAGACCGTCAAACTGCACACGAATTCCGGCTTATAGAAACCTGGCCCATATATAGTTGCTGAGCAAACGTAGCTTTGACAGGGTCCGCTGGTTTTGTAAACTGTGTTCATCAGTTAATATATATAATATATATGATCAATCATATCTGCTATCCACACATTTGCTGAGTAACCTCCAGCCTATATATAACCCATATAATCTGCCCGGACAGAAATGTGACTGTTTACAGATATTCTCGGCAGTTGGACAAACGTCAGCTCATGTCAGCAGGGTGCGGAGTTTGGAACAAACATCAGACCCTGTGTAGTACCAGTAGTGTCGTCTTTAGTCTCGTGTTTGCGCAGTTATGTGATCCCCGATGTGGGAGAACTTTTGGCCCATGTTTGTTGCTGAAACGCGGGTGTATGGCAGGGCTTTATCCAGTACGCCACCCTTCAACCAGCGAAAAAAGAGAACCCCGATAAGAACGAATGAAACACGTCAAACTAAACCTACGCCAAACCTCTGCTTGGATTCCGGACTGTTAAAAACAAACCCTGAGGGGGAGGGGGGCGTGACGTGCTCAGACTGGTAATCAGTCTGTCACCTTGGGTGACCTTGCAGATTGGCGATTTGTTCGGAATCTGGAAACGCTCCAAACAGGAGAAGGATCTCCGCTTAAATCCGCTCCGATAGCGGGATGGGCGCTTTTCTATGGGGGATTATCTCATGTTGATATTAATAAGCTGATGTCCTTAAATGTTGTAGAATTGTTTAAAACTTCCATGTTGTGTGGGAATGATGCCGGAATAATGCGCATTAGATCCGATATCAGCGCCCGGGAACAGTTTGTGTAAGAACGGGATCACCTTTCCTGCGCCCCTACACGGCACAGTCCGGGCCCTGAGTGGGGCAAAACATTTGCTAAATCAAGACTCAGTCTGGTGACTCTCACACCGTAGTTTACTGTACCGAATTGTCAGTTTTCCCGCGTAAGGCCATGTTGATTTGATTATATGGATGACATCCGCGCGCGCATGAATTTTCGGCCATTTCCACAAAAAAAAAGTTTTCAACCATACTGTAAATCGTACAAAACAGTTGCAAAATGAGCAAAAATATGCCATAAGTTACAAAAACAATTAATAAAAACTATACCAATGCCGTAGAATGCCAAAATCAAACGAAAAAAGACGAAATTGTAAAGAAATGAACTTGAAGACTAGATTATTCGCCAAACCATATTCTGTGCCATTTGCTCAACCCTCATGACCACGTAGATTTGATAATGAAAAGAACTTTTTTTTTGCAACACTTTTTTTTATTCGCACGCGCGCATCAGTTTTGGGGCTCCCGGAGGATGTCATCCATATAATCAAATCAACATGGCCTAACGTACAAAGATATTGCCACAAAAATCTCCAACTTTAATTTGTGCGGATTCATTCCCCCCACGTTCGTATTGCCGCAGGGACATCGACGTTGACGTTGACATTGAAAAATAGATAGCGCAGAGTTCTGCCGCAATGTGGCTAGGGACGGATCGTTACGGTCTGGGGAGGGGATTGCGCAGAGTCTTGCCACAACGTGGGCTAGGGACGGATCGTTTCTGTCCGGGTGGGGGGGGGCTGTAGACGTTTGTCTGAAATGTTGTTAATTGTGTACTGAGCGTATAGAAACTGCTGGCTTGATGACGTGGCTAACGTTTCGCGCATTTTTCCTGCAGTTACGACACGATGACGGCGGCACGTGACAAGTTGAGAGTCATGGTCGTCACAGGAATCGTGGTCGTGGCGGGACTGGGTGCCGTCTGGTTCATCAAGGTAAACAAACAAACAAACAGACAAACCCTTATATGGAGTAGTGATACTGTGCGTGCACGTGACGTCAGACTTCCATGCGTATTACGTCATGTTGACTGTAACTCCTACACATTCCATTGTAACCTCTAGGTGTAACCACCAAACATGGCGGACACAACGTCACAATCACGTGACTTCTAGCAACCTATACATTTTAGATATTGTCTGTATTGAAAGGTGCTTCTTAAGACGTTCACAGTAGATGTCTGATGATGTTTGGTTTCACATTGCCAGTTCTGCATGCTTTAGTTAGCATTAGTGGACTAGAAAGGGAAGACTACGGCTCATCTTTGTGATTGGTTCGCAAATTATTCACGAATACGGGAAAAAGTCGGTGTTTGAATGACCCTAAGGTTTTCGGAAGCCGACTGAGTTTTTCTCTTCCCTTTCTAACTGTCTGCCTGTCCCCGTTATTAGGAGATCCTCTGGTACCCATTTCCCCTTGTCTATGCAGAAAGGAAAAGCGGAACGGGATCACGGAGACACACTGAGCAAGCGCAACCTGGCGCGCAAGGAACAGTGGGATGCCGAGAAAAAGGCTGCTGAAACCGAGGCTGCCGCCAAATAGAAGCTTCTGCTTTCCGGCAAACTGGGGAGGGCGAGAGCAGGAGGTCTCGCGAGAATAGCCGAGACTTGGGAACAGGGGAGAGGATGTGGCCGTGGTGGTTTCACCTTTACCCTCTGACCTCTGTCTGGGAGATTTTCGGCAGTGCTGAATTAAGGTCAAGGTCAGTTTAGAGGTCAGAGCTAAACGTTACAATCACCATGGCTACGCGGTCACGTGATGTTGGTTGGTTGATTATCGGTTGGTATTTTCAAGGATGACCTGACCTTGGTAAGTTAAAATGGCGGAGTTGGAGCCCTGTAGTTACTGTGGAAACCCTGTGGTTACCATGGAAACCCTGTGGTCACCATGGGAACCCTGTGGTTACCATGGAAACCCTGTAGTTACTGTACTATTCAGACGTTAGTAGTTCCATTCCGTACTACGGTAGTGTACATGTGTGTTCGTGTGCAGAGAGATGTAGGGAAACAGGTTCACCGCTCAACGCGACTTTAGTCAGTTGCTATAGCAGATTTAGCAAATTGTACAGTCCGGCAAACTAGAACACAGAAACTAACGAAAAGTTCACCTAGAATCCCCACGTCAGCAGTTAGTGCTGGTGACGTGTACGCAGGTATTTACTGGTGTCTGAAACACCCGGAAATGGAGAGGTTTATTTTTTAAGCCCGATGGATGCCGCTTCCTGGTGCTTGTGCCAATGACATACACCTTTACTAGTCGTTTGTATCGCACAGCTTTGCATGACATGAGCATTTACCCGTCGCCTTATGGCGTCCTGTATATACTGTATACTGCAGACCGTCTATTTTATGCTAAGCCTGTTGTACACGTACCAAGCGGAGTGCCTTTTGCGGAGGGTAGAGGTGATATCAGTTTGCTGGGAACAGAGGTGGACAGGGTATAGTGTAAGGTTAAAGATTTATTTCAAGTTTAGGTACGAAATGTACTGCAACTATTTTCATGTACCCGTCAATGTCTAAGGCTATGGCTAAGATTGTTTACTGAGATTTATTGAAATAAATTTGCAAGGAATAAATTTTTTTGCACTCAACTTTGATGAATCCTGTTCTTTTTCTCTCATCTGTTTTAAATAGTTAATGTAGATAGTAGAGACACTAGTTAAACACGTCAGCCTCTGGTAGAGACTAGTTAAACACGTCAGCCTCTGGTAGACACTAGTTAAACACGTCAGCCTCTGGTAGAGACTAGTTAAACACGTCAGCCTCTGGTAGAGACTAGTTAAACACGTCAGCCTCTGGTAGACACTAGTTAAACACGTCAGCCTCTGGTAGAGACTAGTTAAACACTTCGGCCTCTGGTAGAGACTAGTTAAACACTTCAGCCTCTGGTAGAGACTAGTTAAACACGTCAGCCTCTGGTAGAGACTAGTTAAACACGTCAGCCTCTGGTAGAGACTAGTTAAACACTTCGGCCTCTGGTAGAGACTAGTTAAACACTTCGGCCTCTGGTAGAGACTAGTTAAACACTTCAGCCTCTGGTAGAGACTAGTTAAACACACGTCACATAGACAGTCTTGGGAAGGAGAACGTATTTTCTGCGCAAAGTATAGCCTCTACCAGGCTTCGGGAGGCGGCTGGAAAGAGTAGAAAATCGGCCAAATAAAGAGATGACATGCCAGGGGAGTTGGGAGCGGAAAAATGTTCTCTCCGACAGACCAACTCCTCAGACATGTCATCTCTTTATTTGGCCGATTTCTACTCTTTCCAGCCGCCTAACGAAGCCTGGTACAGGCTATACACAAAGTATACTGGGAAAAATTAAGGCATCCTGGGAACGACTGACAGGAACTCTGATACGCCAGCGTTGGTTCATACAGAGTCCCAACCTTTTCTGGTATGGTAAATAAAACCCTTTTCATCATCGCTACTTTTAGTCAAGGATAAACTTGCTCGTCGAAAACAACAATACCTGGTATCACAATTATGAGCTGCCCGTGGTGAAGCCTTGCAGCTACGTGACAGAAAACGTGTGTAGCTACGTGACAGAAAACGTGTGTGTAAATCCCGCTCCGATTCTGGGAAACCAACCATAATAACCGCCTTGCACCTGTGCAGCCACGCTGCAGTACCAATATATTCCGCGGGGAGGCGCACCTGCGTAAGTAAAACTCGGCCTCTGACGAGAGACTCCAGCCAAACCTGTATCGCTTCTGTTGTGTTTTGAAGGTATAATGAAGCACCCATGGCGGGCCGGTAGATGGCAGGTGGCGTTCTTCTTGTAACTGTTACATATTCGCCAAGTGTTTGCGGAGAGCACTTGAAACTGTGAAGAGCCCACTTTCCCGGGGTATCCAGGCCCCATCCCGGATGTGGTCCGTAAGTAGGTTTTAATGCGGGACAGTTCGCGTTTCCCTGCCCGGCTATATCACAACACGCTGCTGGCAGATATTCACTTTGCTGGGGGCAAAACGGGGCATTTTTGTTGAGTAGTTTTGTTTTTTTTTTGTTTTTTTTTAACATAGACATGAAGCACATTGAAAAGACTGATGTACATTACGTTGTGTTCCTGTTGTTCATGGCCACAAATAAAGCAAGCATCAAAACGAATTCGAATCGTTTCTTTTACACTAAATTTCATTACGAATAACTTTTTTATCTATATATTTTAGTACACTTGCTGAACGTAACGTGTGGTTTACGGAGAAATCCAGAGAATGGGCACATGGTGACTCCGTCAAGTTCGTGCTTCATGTGTGTGATAATCCCCTCTCCACTAAAAACCTTGTCATGACAGGAATTCCACATTTCGGATCAGCCTAAGTGTTTTCCCGCAGATCTATGGGGACCCTCTCACACGCTTTAAAAGCTCTCGTGAAATTAGTTCATGTGCTGCATTATTTAACTGCACCTCTATCAGCTACTATACTGGCTCACAAGTCTGGAGACATCGGACTGCATAACTTTCCAAAATTACTGAACGGAGATCCAATGAGAAGCGAAGTTGATATATGCTGGTATCTTGAATTGTGAAAACATATCGCTCATTGCCGACACTTATACAAGCCGAATGCTACTTCATGGTGTAAAATCCGTGTGTATCGATTAAACCAGGTTATGACCACTTAATTGATCAGACCGCATTATTGGCACTTCAAAAATTAAAAAGAGGGCTTGATGCAGAAGCGGACCGGATGAGGCGATTTCAGATATCGATTGGAACAGTGGAAATGGCGTAGCTACAAAACTGCTACCGTCTTTTTCTTTTCTTGTATCAGACACTTAGTGGTTGGTGCGTCTATCAGCTTATTAGTCAGTTTGTACTTTTATACATACACGTCTGAACATGCGAGCTACAAAACTCGGACCGCCTGTGAACATGCGAGCCATCCTAGTCTGTGTTCTGCTGTACCTCCCAGTCTGGGGGATTCAGCAAACCGCCGCACAACACGCTGATTTCTACAGACAGCAAACTGAGCAACACGCCCGGTTTTACAGACAGGTTACCGCGGAGCAACACGCTTACCGACAGGACGCGTCGGACCGGGGAGTGTCCCGTGCGAGACGGTCCGCCTCTGACGACGACATCGCGGTCCTTCTGCGCGCGCACAACGACGCCCGGGCCAGCGCCACGCCGACCGCCGCCAACATGAAAAACATGGTCGGTAAACTTCATCTTCATCTGGGGTTACCCTCCAACAACCCCGCAGGGGTATCGCTCAGGGGTTAACATGTCGCTTTTCACGGTAATGTTTTAAAGACTCTTTTCGTGCATCATTCTTTTCTCTCTAGCTGTTCTCAAAGCGTCACTTTTCCTGACTGGTCATCCATCATATTTTTGTTGCACTTCAGAAAGTTTTCAAACACGACAAATCCTCAGTCTCAGGACTTTTCAACAGATCATTAGGGACAGAACTTGATCTAGTTGATGTTTAGGATGTCGTATTTACTAATTTTTTATGTACGGTGTATTTGTTGTATGTAATTTTATGTATACCCAGGCCAGGATTACCTGAAAAGCAGGCCTAAAAGTGAATCACTTTCAGACGAAATATGACAAACGTTTTCAGAGTTCCCCCCTCCCACAAAACAACGGACACAAGTTCGGCTATTATTATTTCTTTCTCATAGTTTTGCTTGTTTGCAGTTCTGGGATGAGAGACTTGCGTTCAAAGCGCAGACCTACTCTGCTCGGTGCCGATACGCAGCGAACCCGGACCGGTCGGTGGGCGGGGAGGGCTTCGCCACGGCCGGGGAGAACCTGTTCGCGTCGGCCGGGAGCGCCGGGCTGGAGGCGGCGGTGGCGAGCTGGCAGACGGAGGGCGCAGGGTACGACTTTACTACCAACACGTGCGCTGAGGGGGCCGACTGTTCCAGGTACACACAGGTAAGGCTGGCAGGGGGAGGGCGCAGGGTACAACACGTGTGCTGAGGGGGCCGACTGTTCCAGGTACACACAGGTAAGGGTTCACCTGTATCAGGTGCATACAGGTAAGGGTACGACAGGTAAGGCTTCAGGTACACAGCCAGTAACGCCTGTTGTCTGTATTTTGCTCAGCTGATGTGGGCGGCGTCCTACAAGGTGGGGTGCGGCTGGACGGTCTGTCCGAGACTAGACAACTTCGACGGAACCGACGTCTTCTTCCTGGTGTGTAACTACGGACCAGAGTAAGTAGATAGACACCTAACCCTAAGTACGGACCCGAGTAAGTACCGGCAGCGCCCTCATAGCATAACCCTAACCCTTATCCTAACCCTAACTGCGGACCCGAGCAAGTATAACCCTTATCATAACCCTAACTACGTACCAGATTAAGTCCTGAAAGTTCTCTAGCACACCTTATAATCGTCGGTCATTTTCGTACTGCCAGCGTTCTGAAAGTTCTTTACACTTTCGTATCGCCAGCCATTGTAGTACTCGTTTAGTTCAGTGGTGTTCATCTTTGGGCTCGTTTCAGAGGAAACACGGGCGGAGACAGGCCGTATAGAAGCGGGGCGGAGTGCTCACGATGCGCCTTCGGGAACGTGTGTACTGAGGACGGGCTCTGTAGTAAGTACCATAGGGAACGTGTGTACTGCGGACGGACTCTGTAGAAAGTACCATAGGGAACGTGTGTACTGAGGACGGACTCTGTAGTAAGTACCATAGGGAACGTGTGTACTGCGGACGGACTGTGTAGTAAGAAGTAAGATATAGAATCCATACATGGCACAGGACTAACCTGTTCCAGTCATGGACGCGCCTGTTATATCCAAACATAACACAAGACTGCCTTTTAGAAAACATAGAGACGGACTAAAGTCTGTCCGCTAACACCTGTATAACACAAAGCTACAGTAGTACAATGACACAAGACTGCCCACTAACCTGCTGTACCGTTGCAGTTATGGACGCGCCTGTTATATCCAAACTTAACACACCTATATCACACAAAGCTACAGTGGTACAATAACACCAGACTGCCCACTAACCTGTGGTACAATAACACCAGACTGCCCACTAACCTGTGGTACAATAACACCAGACTGCCCACTAACCTGTGGTACAATAACACCAGACTGCCCACTAACCTGTGGTACCGTTACAGTTATGGACTGCCCACTAACCTGTGGTACCGTTGTATGGACTGCCCACTAACCTGTGGTACCGTTGTATGGACTGCCCACTAACCTGTGGTACCGTTGCAGTTATGGACTGCCCACTAACCTGTGGTACCGTTGCAGTTATGGACTGCCCACTAACCTGTGGTACCGTTGCAGTTATATTAACTGGTACCTGTTGTACCGTTGCAGTTATGGACGCGCCGGAGAACCTGGCCGTTACTGACGTCACCTTTAGCTCCCTCTCCGTGTCCTGGGCCGGGTCCACCTCCATGGTGTCAAATTACGTCTTAACCTACGGGAGACAAGGAGGGAGGAACAGGTGAGAACCACGCCTTAACCTTAACCTACGGGAGACAAGGAGGGAGGAACAGGTGAGAACCACGCCTTAACCTTAACCTACGGGAGACAAGGAGGGAGGAACAGGTGAGAACCACGCCTTAACCTTAACCTACGGGAGACAAGGAGGGAGGAGCAGGTGAGAACCACTGTAACTT